GCACCAATAGTTATGAGTCGGCTTATTTCATCATCTGATGCTTGCTTCGGCAATGTAAAATGTGAAACGGTTGAAAAATTTACATGTTTAGCACTGTTGCGTGGTCATAAATGAACGAAGCTTCTACATTGTTCAGTTTTCTTGGGTTGTTTGCAGATGTTGAAGCTTAGGTGTTTTGTTTGAGCATTGGGTGTGTGAGATGAGTTTTGTTATCCCATTGCATATGGCCTCTTGGTGCTCATTCTGTAAGGTGCATTGTGAGGTGTGACGACAAAGATGTTGTTGCACCATGAAGGGTCCGGACGGAGTTTGAACATCGTTGTCCCGGTTGGGTTGTTTTTCTAATAAGATCCCTATTTTTTCGTTTTTCTTGCAAGATATCGCCAATCTAAGCAAATTCCCGTCTACCTCTGGTACGCTTTTAGACTCACCGAGAGCATTTTTTGGAACACCGAAAGCATCGAAATTTTAAAATCTGTAAACGACGTGGGAACTCAACATTCTGTAAGCTTTCCTCACACATGACCTCGTATCTGTGCTTAGCAAACAAATGCATCAAATTTTAGATTTTAAATTACACAGACTGTGTCATGATTTCGCATGTTCATTTTGTAGATTATAGTGTATGATGGCATTGACGACTTCTGTACGACCAGGCTATAATCTGTTTAGTCACCAGACCAAAGTGGTGGTGGGTAGAATCCTTTTTTAATGCTTGCATGCTCGCGTTTCATGTTCTGAATTTTGAGGTGTCAGTTGCCCAGATGAGATGAGAAGGTAGATATTCCTTTTGAGAATAGATACAAGATGTGTACGAAACGTTAAACTAAGAACGCATCAGAGCATGACAAAAATCCATTGGGAGCAACTTTTTAAGTTACGAGACGATGTGAAAAGTAATGCTGGAAAGACAAACACTCGACCGGAATTTATCTAAACTTGAGATGCCGTTCTCCTTTATGATCTATATATATATATATATATATATATATATATATATATATATATATATAAGCAAAAATATCTGTCCAAAATATACCAAAACATACATACACCACACACATATATATATATATATATATATATATATATATGCGTACATACATAAGTGTTTGAAGACTTTGGCGTGCATTTCCTAAGTTTTTTTCTGCACTGTATAGCACCTACGTCACTGCCCCTACGCCACTGCACCTACTCCAAGAACTTCAAGAACACTTGTATATAAGACAATTTGCTGCCTACATATGTCCATATATGTATATATATATATATATATATATACATAAAGATCTTAATTACAGACAAAAGTACCTAAAAAAAGACAATGTAATCACCTAATGCATCTCCATTCTTTCATTAGAAAGACCCGACGAAATGGGTTTCCAGCTCTGGCACCATATGAAGCGGGTACACTCTGCTCATGTACCTACATGGCTTTTGAACTGAATGACGTTCCTTTTGTCGACCAGAACGCACCACCGTTAAATCAGCTTGAAATAATTTGAATTTTAAATCTCGAAAACTTGATTCAACTTCTGGTGCATGCATGTCTGTTGGAAAGAATGAAACGATTTTTGGCGACATTTCTCGCTATAGTGTAATATAATTGTATTTCACTTAAGTTCATTTTATTTCTAAGTAAGATGACATTCGCGAGTCACGCCGAGCAAACCGGGTGTCCGATCATTAGAAGTCAGCAAGCAATGAAACGTGGGCGCGCGTCAATGACCAAACCACTTGCCGTAATGTGGCCAACACCGTGGCCACACCCCATTCATGTTTACCCACATTGCGTATGGGACGTATGCACGTATCTGCATCTGCTCCCAATCAGTGTCCATTAATCTGCTCTCAAAAGCACATGTTTCATGTCTCTTTTGTATTCTATATTCATGTCAATTTTAGTGGAAGACACGGTGCGGTGACTGCAATACCATACATACCAAAAACACCAAATGCAGGCTTACTAGGGTGCGCATCTCGTCGGGCTTTATTTGTTTACATAATTGCTTCACATGCCAACACACAAGAAAATAACGAAGTGCCAAAACGAATATGGACCAACGCATGGATGATGAACGGTTCAGCCACATCTGAAGAGAAAATCAAACATGCTTTTTTGATAACATAACATGAGAAAACGCAGGATTTGTGTCAACATCAAGCAGCGGTCGGTGTTTCGTGCGGCGCATGCGCTCTAGACCATCCTCCATGCACGCCATGTGTTCCGAGTCGGAAGATTTTCGTCTCATTTCGTTCGCCGCCACCTCACCGAGGACAGCAATGTGGGTTACTCGGGCCGGTCGTGCGGCGTACTCAACGGCTGCCGCGCCGCCCGACCGCCCGCCGCGGCCGCATCCGTGCCGCGCGCACGCCTCCGCCCCAGTTGCCCGCGCCCGCCCGTGGTGCCGCACGCGGCCCCGGCCGGGCCTGCACGCGGCGCCGCAGGGCCTGACCCCTGACCCTCCGCGCCCCGGGCGGCGTCTCGGCCCACCGGCCGACCGGCAAACGACGCTGCCGCGTCTCCGCAGTGGAGGTGCCACAGGTGCACGTGCGTGACGTCCGCGCTGGCGTTTCAAGCATCAGTGCCACCACGGCCGGCCGCGCGTGGCCCTACTCACGGGAGTCCGCAGCAGGTCCAGGGTGGACACGTGCGTTAACGAAGGCGTGAAGGACGATTTGGGGGTGCGACCGGACTGCTTCGACGAGTTGGGCGGCTGGAACAACACGGATGGGCTGTGGGCGTCTGCTGTCGCGTGATGCGCATCAACCAGGGGTGTCAATTTCTTTAAACTATTGGGGTAGGGGGCGAACCGAAGGCCCGGCAACCTACCCCCCATTTTTCTCACGGGATTTAGACCATTTTGTTCTGATTGAACGCAATATTTATACATATATACATATATATATATATATATATATATATACATATATATATATATATATATATATAAACATGCATTTCATCTTTGCATGATTTATGAAAGACCTTTCATGTAACCAGTATCGAAGTCACGCAGGGTTGGCTCCAGTTAGCAGGCACTGAACGCACGCGTCTCTTCTGATCGGCAAGTGAAGGCGGGGCCTTCATTGAGGCCACCTTGAGGCGCCGATGGCCATGGCCATGGTCATGGGAGGCGGCACGTGTTTTGGTTGTAGGGGCGGGGACAGGGCGAGCCGAGCCGATGAAGGACTTAGGGTCATTCCAATATTCCAGAGCCCTTCACTTTAACCTCACAAACCATTGTCTGTCTTATGGCGCTAGGTATGTTAAGTTTTTTGCATCGTTTATCCACTCAGCTGTTACGATTCGTATCTGGTAGTGAGAGCAGCCATGACTTTGCTATACGAGACGCCACAACGCAGAAAAAATCAAAGAAGGTAATCTTTGTGTTATAATTATCTTTTACCCACGTTTTCTGTACTGTTCCAACCGAAAGCATTGGTGGGGCCAAGCCAACATTGGGGGGGGGGGGGGGGGCGGCAACCCAACATTGGGGGGCCAGGGCCCTCACAAAAGAATACAAATCGACACCCGTGGCGTAAAAATCGAGTAATTTTGTTTACGGGTAAATTGGTGGAATGGGTAGTATATGCACAGATGACCCACGCATGAAAAAACCCGCTGCTTGGTTGAGGACGATTATGCAGAAGAGGTCTGTAAATTACACATGTGGCAAATTGACACAAATGCAATAGACAAACACAAAAGATTTTCACCTGAAACGTATGCTTGAAACCAAGACACCCTAGACGCCCAGATGACCTTAACTTGACCGCTGTCCATTCCAGGAGCTCCCGACCGTGAGGCCCCGAGAGGTGTCCACTAATCGCACGCACGTGCATCCCCAAATCGGGGGAGGGGGAGGGGGGCTTCCTGGAGGCGCCGTGCCTAAGATCGCGGGAGCAGTCTAGACCGTGACCTCACAAACACACTGTGGATGGGGTACAGAGGAGGGAGCCATCGGCGGTCATGGAGATCAGGCTCCCCCGCTCGGGACTCTTGCAAGGTGCATCATGCTACGGTAGAGGCCAGCAGTTTCTGCCGGATTCATTTGCTTTCTGATTGCATGGTGAATAGCGCTAGAGTTCGGGAACGTCTCCGCTGGTGGTGTTCAAGTAAGAAGCCGAATAAGCTAATCTGTAACAAAGTTCTTGCAGGTGGATGACGGGCGGGCGGACGTCTTGCAGGCGGACCCCTTTCCCCTATGCCCCTTGCCCCCACGCCCCTTGCGTGTTGGATAGTCACCAGGTCGCAGGGGTGAGGTACCGTGTGCAGGAGCGCCACAGGAACCACTGCGGTCGCTCCGCAGGACCGCCGCTCCACGCTGGTGCTGCCTCCGCCCGCGTCAGCGCCACCGGACCTACATCCGTACCGGTGTCCAGCGGGCCGACCACAGCCCAAAGCCCGGCCGAAGTTGGCGTACCTACGGTGGTGCTGAGTCCGACCCGCAGTGGTGTTCAGTCTGAACCATCGACGCCCGGGTACACAAATGGCACCGGGTGGTATTCTCATGCTGCTAAGTTGCATCCCCACAACGCTGTAGAATCAATACCCTGAGTCTGTTGACCAATCAGTCTCTACAGCAACAGCTGTATTGTGTTGAGCCCTGATTCATTGCAGTCTGTGTGCCATATGACATTATCTTTTGACTGCGCTGATGCACTTCTTGCCGCCGGCTGTTCGCTCTGCATGTTGCACCTTGTCTGAAGTGTTCACACCACGGCGTGGGGGGACTAATGAAGTGCCAATACAGCGTGCTCTTTACTTCCTGTCCGCTAATGCTGACGCGAGAATCTGGCGGTACCTTACATGCCCGGGGTACAATAATTTCTAGTACCTCACCTACTCGGGGTGCAACAGTCTCCAGTACCTCACCTGCCCCAGGTACAACAGTCTCCAGTACCTCACCTGCTCGGGGTGCGACAGTCTCCAGTACCTCACCTGCCCGGTACACCTCCCTGCTCGGAGTATATCCATTCCTGGTGGCGGGGATACCTCAGCCCCGGTCCAGCTCACCTGCGCCCGGTACGTTGGGCAGCGAGAGGCCGGGCCGGGCGCGGGCCTCGGACGTCCTCCGCTGCTGCAGCGCGCGCTCGACGGTCGCCAGCCGCGGCGACAGTTTCTCGGAGAGGGCGGCGTGCCCCCGGGCTGTGACCTCCTGGCAGGTGGAGCAGGCCGGCGTCTCCCTGCCCCGGCGCAGAACGGCCGGCGAGCGGCTGCCGGCCACCGGCGCCAGAGGTCGCGGCCGCTCCGAGGACCGGTGCAGCAGGGCAGTCAGCGGGTCACTGCCGGGGGCGGGGGCAGGTCAGCATCCGGAGCTCCGACGCCGCGTCGGGTCACCACCAGGTGCACTGCTGTCGTGCAAGACGACCCGAGCGCTGATTCCAAGTGGGTCAGATTCAAAACCGATTCCAAACGGGCTGCCGGTTTGAGCGCCGCTGCGCTCGGCGATGCCGTTCCGAGCACCAGAGCGCACAGCATACACCCGGACATTACATCGCCGGGTGGACCTGCGCGGTCAGCTGACCTGGCCAGACCGGGCACGCCCCAGCCGATGAGGGTGTCCTTGACCCAGCCGTGGGAGGGTGCTGCCGGCGGCGGCGGCGGCGGCGGCGGCTCGGCGATCGGCGGGATGGCCGTCGACGGCTCCGGCCGGCTGTCGGCCGGCTCTGGCCGCTGCGAGCCGACCAGGCGGCCCACCGAGATCCGGGCCTGGCTCTGCCTGCGACCGACGGCGCCGAGGGTCAGGCGGGAGAGGCGCTCAGCGTCAGGCGGAGAGGCGTTCAGCGTCAGGGGAAGAGGCGCTCAGCGTCAGGCGGAGAGGCGCTCAGCGTCAGACGCAGAGGCGCTCAGCGTCAGGGGAAGAGGCGCTCAGCGTCAGGGGAAGAGACGCTCAGCGTCAGGGGAAGAGGCGTTCAGCGTCAGGGGAAGAGGCGCTCAGCGTCAGGCAGAAAGGCGTTCAGCGTCAGGGGAAGAGGCGCTCAGCGTCAGGCGGAGAGGCGCTCAGGGTCAGACGGAGGGGTGCTCAAGGTCAGACGGAGGGGTGCTCATGGTCAGACGGAGGGGTGCTCATGGTCAGACGGAGAGGCGTTCACGGTCAGGCGGAGAGGCGCTCAAAGTCAGGCGGAGGGGCGCTCAGAGTCAGGCGGAGAGGGGCTGAGTGGAGCTAGCTCGGACCGGGGGTACAGACGTCAGCTCTCACCACAGAGGGCTGTGCAGGGCTGGAGCTAGCGGTGCGGCATCAGGGCCCACAGCAGAGGTCAGAGCCACATCCGAGGGTCAGGACTAGCAGCAAAGGGTCAGGGCCAAAAGCAGTGTCAGGGCCCATAGCAGAGGCTCAGGGCCCACAACAGAGGGTCAGAGCCGACAAAAGGGGGTCAAGGCTAAAACGCCATCACCCCTGGCGGACAACTACCGTCTGGTCTATTACCATGGGAGCATCACTGAACTGCTCGGCAGGGAGGGACGCGCTAGGACCATGCTGAGTTGTTCAATGTAGCGGGGATTGTCCCAGGGAAATACGGCGATCCACGTGTGACAGATATGCCAGATACCATTACGACGAAGCTGCACTCTTCTGTCTGCGTTGATGTAATCTGTATTAGTCGTGGTAGCCGGAACATTGATTACCAAACATTTGGTATCGACTGACACCGAATGGGGCAACATTCTTCTTTAAAACAATACGACGGCATTCAGCTACCTTTTCCCACTGGAATAAGTTCGCAAGTTCAGCCGGCCGCCGGCGAACTTGCCTGGCACATGTCAGACCCACGTTCTGCGCTGTCCTGCGCAGCGAACCACGGGAAAATGTTCGAAAGATTCGGCTCGAAAAGGTGTACGGCTTCCTCGTGGGCGACACACACTGACGGCAGCAGTCGAGGGACAGAGCTGGGGAGCTTTCGCTCGAATTATCAGAGTTATATCAGAGCCGGATCATCGCCTCTGAGTTTGGTTACCTGTATGGTGAGGTCTTCAGCGGGTCGCGGCTGTCTTTCTCGTTTTTGCCGTCTTGGTTCTCTTGGTTTTCTTTATTCAATGCCAGCTTGTTGCTTTTTCGTTTCTTGCCTATTGTGAGGCTGCCAAATTTTCTTCCCAGTGAATTGGACGTAAATTCCTGAAGCAAAGTAATAAATGAGGTGGGCCAACTTTGGTTGTCCTGTGTCTATACAGTCGCGTCAATCAGAAAACATCTTGAAATATTGTATTGTATCAAGAAAGCAAGACGTTGCACTTCGCTTCACTGACACCTGGCCGTCCTTAACACGCGCCCGGATGGCCGGTTGGATACCCTTCGCTCGGGTGGGGAGCCAATTGGCCTCCCCTGAGATCTCAGGAACTAAGAAAACTAGAGACACCAAATTCACAGGACTTGTTGACCTGTACAAGACCTTACTTAGGTCAAAGTTTGAAGTTCCTAGGTCATGCCCTTTGGGTCAAAAAAGGTCAAACATTTTCAAATTCCAGGTTGGTCTCCACTGGGCCCCTGAAACCTAGATAACTGTTCTATGCAAAAGATCACATGCTCATCTGAGGTACATGACCTCGTTTGTCCTTTTGAAGGCCATGGTGACCAAAATCATACAAGACCGCGTTGAGTTTCGCATTCGGATAAGCGATACAGATTATGCCAGGCGGCATGTTCCTGAAAACAAAATGTCGACCTGGGTAATTCTAGGTCGGTGGCCTATTCCGACCTTTTAAAAGTCTATGGAAGGTATATAATACGGTTCCTGTTATCAATACATTCGAAATAAGCACAAGAAACCACTCCATGCAGCAGGGCCTAGAGTAATAAAACAGGTTGATTTTGACCTTGGCCTGACCTTCATAACTGACCTTAGGTCAATGCAATTTGTTCGTTCAATTGTTGTGTTGTCTCAGAAAATATATCAGAGACGTACGGCTTCGTCTAACACTCCGTTGTTGGATAGATTGAGCTATTCCCAAGAAACTGCCTTCGCTGAAACCATGGCCTGATTTTGACCTACTATAGGTCAGCGACCTTACAAGGTACGTCTAAATTTGTGATGCTAAATGATTCGGTATTCAATTGCCTATAGCTATGACAAATCTGGCTGTTCAAAAACCATTCCGGAAAAAAGTATTCGGGGGGTCAATTTGACCCCCACCCGATCACGTGTTAATTAATACAAGTCATGCTATAACGGCCAGGGGCTTATCACCGGCAGACTGATCAAAAAATACGTGGCGCGTTGCAGTGGCACATCAAAGGAGGCACGGAGATGACATCGACGCGTTATCATGTCTTTAGTCCATACATATATTTACCATGGTTTCGGAAAACTTCGATTGCCCTTTGTCTCCCATGGAAAACTGCCATCGCTTCCTCGTTGTGGTTTTGCCTCCCCCCGCCCCTGAGGAGACCCTGTGTGCATCGTCCGCCCCTGGCGGCGGGGGATCCCCGGCCGTGGTGGGCTCACCTGCTGGATTTTGCGCTTGATCTCGGGCAGCTGCCGCTGCGGGAACTGGTCGTGCGTGAAGAAGTCGTGCTGCAGCAGCTCCCGGCATCCGGGGCGCTGCTGAGGGTCCATCTCCAGGCAGTCCTGCGACAGGGCGGCCGCTGACACTGTTGTAGGCCTGTTACAGTCGCTGTTACAGCCGCTGTTACAGCCGCTGCTACAGCCGCTGCTACAGCCGTTGCCATAGGCTTTGCTGTTACATGCGCCGATACATCCGCTGCTGCATCAGCTGCTACAGCCGTTACAGCAGACGCTGCTATTACAGACGCTGTTATAGCCACTGCTACAGTTACTGTTGCACACATTGTTACATTTGCTGCTATAGCAACCGTTGAAGTTGCTGTAACAGCCACTGTTACAGCCGTTGCTGCAGTTGCTGCTGCAGTCGCTGATACAGTCACTGTCACAGCCGCTGCTACAGTTGTTGTTGCAGTCGCTGCCCCAGCTGTTGTTGCAGCCGATGTTACGGCTGATGTTACAGCCACTGTGACAGTCGCTGTCGTAGATGTTGTTGGAACCGATGTTGCATCCGCCGGCAGCCGAGGCACCGGCAGAGTCCTCGGGCTTCACTTAAACACGCACTGAGCCTGACTCCGCCTGTCTATGAGCCTCTGCTCCTAATCAGTGGAGCAGCACACGGCCAACCGGCCAACACCAGACCGGCTGTCCACACAGCAGCACATGGCCAACCGGCCAACACCAGACCGGCTATCCACACAGCAGCACATGGCCAACCGGCCGACACCAGACCGGCTGTCCACACAACAGCACATGGCCAACCGGCCGACACCAGACCAGCTGTCCACACAGCAGCACATGGCCAACCGGCCGACACCAGACCGGCTGTCCGCACAACAGCACATGGCCAACCGGCCGACACCAGACCGGCTGGCCACACAGCAGCACATGGCCAACCGGCCGACACCAGACCAGCTGTCCACACAGCAGCACATGGCCAACCGACCGACACCAGACCGACTGTCCGCACAACAGCACATGGCCAACCGGCCAACACCAGACCAGCTGGCCACACAGCAGCACATGGCCAACCGGCCGACACCAGACCAGCTGTCCACACAGCAGCACATGGCCAACCGACCGACACCAGACCGGCTGTCCGCACAGCAGCACATGGCCAACCGGCCGACACCAGACCGGCTGTCCACACAGCTGCACGGCCACCGGAGCCGGCGGACGCACCTGCAGGAAGTGCACCTGCAGCTCCGGCCACTGTGGGAACTTGGCGCTGAACCTGGGCCGCAGCACCGTGTTGAGTCGGAGGCCCGACAGCGCCGGGTTGTTGCTCATCAGCTCCACGTGCGCCTTTGAGAGGGGCCCTGCAGCGCAGACGGGTGTACTTTCACACACACTGCAGCGCAGGCGGGTATACTGTCACACACACTGCAGCGCGGGCGAGTATACTGTCACACTCACTGCAGCGCAGGCGGGTGTACTGTCACACTCACTGCAGTGCAGGCGGGTTACTGTCACACTCACTGCAGCGCAGACGAGTGTACTGTCACACTCACTGCAGCGCAGGCGGGTGTACTGTCACACTCACTGCAGGTGCGGCAGATCGGGCAACATGGCCACTGCCGACAAGGGCAGACACAGACGGAGGGACACACTGCAGCCCAGCAGACGCAGACGGAGGGACACACTGCAGCCCAGCAGACACAGGCGGAGGGACACACTGCAGCCCAGCAGACACAACGGAGGGACACACTGCAGCCCAGCAGACACAGACGGAGGGACACACTGCAGCCCAGCAGACACAGACGGAGGGACACACTGCAGCCCACCAGACATAGACGGAGGAACACGCTGCGGCCCAGCAGACACAGACGGAGGGACACACTGCAGCCCAGCAGACACAGACGGAGGAACACGCTGCGGCCCAGCAGACACAGACGGAGGGACACACTGCAGCGAGGACGTACGCTCAGAAGACGTCGCAAGGGTGGGACCGGGCGTCTCCTGCTATACCCTCCCAGTGGCCAGGAGAGCGGCGGACCAGCCCGTGAGCGGCCGGGGTCAGGAGTCAGGAGTCGTGTCTGTCTGTCTGTCGGTCTATCTGTCTGTATATCTGTCGGAGACTAGTGGAGATCACGCCGTGCCACCGACAGCAGGGGGAAGCTGCCGCCGCCACGGACATTTTCTGATATTATGTGCTAAAGCTATAAAAGGAGCTCTGTTCGATATAGAGCTGAATATTGTCCTATTGCGCATATTGAAAATGCACGTTGTTATAAGCGAGGCCGCAGACTGAGTGAGCCGTACTTGAACTAAGATAAATTTATCACTTGGAGATACCAGCCCGACCCGGCCCGGCCGTCATGCTCTTAAAGCTAAAATGTACTCTGAGAACTTGCAATCACTCAAAACGGGTTCGTGCTAGGTGGAGCACCGATAAGAGAAATTAGTTGAAAGCCGAGCTTTTCTTAATGTCACACATTTGCACGTGAACTGTTTGATTAGGTAGGCCGTCTCCGCAACATCCCAGCATCAACATCAATTTCCTTTTTCGTTTGATTGATATCGAACCGATACAATTTCAGCTTGCGTGAATAACACAGACTGAATGGAACATAGTCTAGTCTCGACGACCGGACCGGCACCGGCTTGATCCGGGTCTGATCAATGCTGCCGGGGGGGGGGGGGGCATTGTTATTGGCAATGGCAGTGGCGAGAGGCTCCTTGTGCGCACCAGCACGTGCTGTCGGGCGTCAATCCTGGGTCCAACCTGTTCGGGGCGCTGTCCAGGATTGGTGTCAGATCTCAACAACCAGAGTAAATGAAGACGTGAATCCAAGTGCACCTTGTAGGCCAATGTAACGACTGGAATTCACTAGTGCATCTCAGCGTCGTTTAGAGAGGAAACCGTCCACAACCGCCGGCCAAAGCGGGGCTCGTTGTGTGCAGCGAGTCATGTGACTCCAGCCCACATCGCCACCGTTCCCGTTACCGGAGCGCTTCCTTACAGCACTTCTGTCTCCTCCCGGCAATCAGAGCAGATAAAGAGCCGGGACTGGCAGCGCGGTGTGTGCGAATGGAGCACCTGCAGCTCACCATACGGCCTCCGAACCGGCCGACTGGCAGCGGCGCCTGTAATGGGCTGGCAAGGGGACAGTGGCGCCACCTCGCAACACAATCTCAGGTGCAGTCGGCACCGGCCCGGATCGAGACACAATCTTAGGTGCAGTCGGCACCGGCCCGGATCGAGACACAATCTTAGGTGCAGTCGGCACCGGCCTGGACCGAGAGCTCACCCCACGCTATGTAAACAGACGCGCAGCCAAGTTCACTGCGGCCAGAATGGCCTAGAATATTTACGTTTTGCAACACCTTTGTAACAGTCATTGAAGCAGGCATAGCCCCATCTTAATCGATTTTGTTAGGTGGCACGCTTACGGTTTAAATAGCCTCACGAGCTCGGAGCTCTGCAACATTTCATCGTGAAGGGCTTTGATAACGCCGCGGCCACCGGCCGTGTGAATGACATGCAGTTGGCCTTTTATAGGCGATGCAAACGTAGCGGGCTTTTCCATAGAAACACAAACACCTTGAACACACATAGAAACACAGCTTGCATGCTACTTTACAGTGGGATCGTCTTTTGGTTTCGGTTTAGTTATATTGGTTTGCAATACGACATTTGCACTCACATAAGTATGGTTGCAGGCTTATAGTCTTTCCCCTGGGAGAAAAATAGCCATGCCCTTTCATCCATCCTAGCCAATCCGTAGCACAAAATCCTACCACTCAAGTGAGACAACTGTCCCTCGCGGAGGATTACGAGCACCTAATCTTTCGCTCTGATAACTTTTAGCTCTTCTCTGCGTTGGTTCACAGTTCATTAGGTGTGAAACACGTAGACTCAAAATTCTTAAAAACAAAACAAAAAACTGTTTATCGCAAAATCATGCCCACGCCTATCGCATTAGGCACAATCTTTCGTCGGGCGACTGCAGCCAAGCAAAGGATTGCTATCCCAAACGGAATGAAGCTTTTGCAATTTTTTCTCTCCTCTTTTTCAGTAGTTGCAAGTCAGCATGCTTTGCAAAGAATTACGAGTGCCTTCGAGCTGTGACTTTCTGTGTCAGTCGACGTTGTTCCCTTGTAGCAAATCTACGGTAAAGACTGAACATGACATGCTCGTGTCAACGCGACAAAGTTCCTCCAAACGTCTCCCACGGCATGCCATTGGGCCACAGAGACCGAGCCGGAGGGCGACTGACGTCGGCCTGCTGCCTCGCTTTGGCCGGGTGACTCAGCGAGCGACCAGCGGGCCGGCCGGGGCGGCCTCAGGGGCGGCGGCCGCGTCACGGACCCCCTCCCCCCCCCCCCACCTCCCCCGCAGACCCGGCCTGGACCGCCGCCCGGTCAGGCCGCTCCCGGTCCGGCCGGCCTCCGGTCATGCGGCCGCTGTGTGCTGTGTCAAACGGCCGCTGTTGGCGCCTGTCCGTGACCTCTGTGCCAACTCTGCGGCGAAGCGCTGCTACCAGAGCGGCGACTGGGTGCTGAGAGACCGCCTGTGTCACGGATTACCTGACGCAGTCGGTCCGCAGAGGCGCCGATTGCTCCGGCCGGAGGGAACAGGCGACCCAGCCGCCTCCTCGAGAAGACACAACTATATGCAACCCCAGAGCACACAAGTGTTTTAATTGGGCGCGCGCGCGTCATGCGTGACGGTCCAATCACGACGCTGGGGCGACCCGTGACGCCGCCGTGACCGCCAGCGTGACGCGGCGCGCACCGCTAGCCGCGGCAACGGCGGAGGCGACGCGCCGGCGACGTGCGCCACGCTCGGGTGGCGCGCGCTCGGCCGCGAGTTCTGCGCGCCGCCGGCCGTGCCGCCCGACTAACAAAGCAGGGCACCGGGGCGCGCCGGCCGGCGGGCCGCCCCTGCCGCGGCGCGCCACCTCTGCCGCCGGCGCGCCCCTTCGGAGCGTCACACGCGGCCGCTCGCGCTCATCACCCGCTTCCCACGCACAGACAGACGTGCTCCCGAAGCCGGCCCCGGCACAGCGGACTGAACGCACAGATGCATGTTTGCTCGGGTGCGGCTCAAGCCGGGGATGCATGAGAACCTGTATAGTATACAATGGACGTTTTTCCTGCTGTTTGGGTTCGAAGCGATTGAGATCTAGGAAGTACGCTACCGGCAATGAAAGCCGGCAATGCAAACGCCATGCTAGAGTTCTTATCGCGCGCCTGTAGGAGCAGCTCAATAGGCTGAACACGCATATGAGGGCATAGCACATTAATGAAGCTTAAAGAGCTGCGACTCGGAACTGCGTCTATTGCGTCACTCAGTCCACAGGGCCGTCCATTGCCAGGAGATATGACGTCATCGCATGGGAACTTCCGTTTTAGACCTCTAAAAGATCGATGGGGCAGTAACAGCCAAACTGCACTCCTGGACTTCAGCTCCACGGCCTCAAACAGCACTCCTGGACTCCGGCTCCGCGGCCTCGAACTGCACTCCTGGACTCCGGCTTCGCGGCCTCAAACTGCACTCCTGGACTCCGACCCGCGGCCTCAAACTGCACTCCTGGACTCCGGCTCCGCGGCCTCAAACTGCACCCCTGGACTCCGGCTCAGCGGTCTCAAACTGCACTCCTGAGTCCTGGACTCCAGCTCCGCGACCTCAAACTGGACTCTCCTCCTGGACTCTCCTGGACTCCAGCTCCGCGGCCTCAAACTGGACTCTCCTCCTGGACTCTCCTGGACTCCGGCTCCGCGGCCTCAAACGTTCAGCTCGAGACCGTTCAGCTGTACGTGTTTGTTCGCCTGCAGAGGCGGCTGGGATGTACGTGTTTGTTCGCCTGCAGAGGCGGCTGGAATGTACGTGTTTGTTCGCCTGCAGAGGCGGCTGGGATGCGGAACATATCCAGAGCACCGCGCCGGCGCTGTCACCAGGCGGGAGCTGTGTTTGTCGGCGTGCGGCTGCTGGAGCGCTTGTCGTCGGCGCCCTGTCCATAGCACCCCCGCGCCACGCCGTCCGGGCAGCGCGTGGCGCCGACAGTAGGTCATCGACCGACAGCACCTTCCACAGCAGAGCCGCGGCTGCGGCCCACGGTCGACGCACCTCCCTGCGACGCACGCAGGTCTCGCTGGACCGGCGGGGGCCTCATGTCGCGCAGAATAATCGATGTCTAGGTTACCTCGGCTGTGTGTGTATTTGAGGAGGGGGGGGGGGGGGTTGAGAGAAGAAAAGGGAGGTGTCACCTCCGATTACCCCATCCCCATTCCAGCTCATTTCAAGAGCATGGAAGCGGCCAGGCCGACCGCTTGACGTTGGACAATGCACGAGTGAAGAGATCTCACGCCAGACCAGAGTCGGCCGATCAGCCGGCCGCCAAAACCTACCCTCGATGCGCGGCTGGTCAATGGTCAATGTCCGGAGAGGCGGCGTGAAAAGTCTGCCAGAGCAAGCCACTTCCAGCGACGACAGCGCAGGCTTGCGTCAAGTGGAAGGCAAGTCAGCGTGACCACTGCCGCACCTCTGATCCTATTCACGCGTGCCGCGATGGCAAACTCATCCCTGTGTCATGCTGCGCAAACTTACGACGTTTCATTCGCCGCCAAGCCTGACAAGAGATAGCTGCAGCGACCTCAAAGGCCTCTTGTTAGCTCCGTAACTGTGTCAGTGTTACGTCCGGTGTTACTAGTTTACCAGCATCAGTGTTAACCAGACCCAGAGCATACCAATGCTAAAGGCAATGTTGCAGATTTGAGGACATTAACGCAAACATCGGATATGATGAAATAAGCTCACTATGACCATTGGTGTACTATAAGTGGAAAAGACTGCTGAAGGCAACACAATTTCTCTGTTTAGTTAACATGCTCATGAATACGTCCTTGTTTGATTACGTCATCGTACCTCGCACGACATTGATTAAGAGCCAGGTGACGGCCGTTATATTTGGAAATCGTGCTCACGAACGCCAGATATGAACCACACGACACTCGTTTTTCTTGGCCTTGATCGCCACATGGCTAATGGAAAGGCAGGATTTGAACGACGTGATTATTAGTGTTATGAATGCCTGAGTAGTCTTGACGTAGTCTCCCCGAAAAAGTATGTACATTTTCGCCGGGCGTGAAGCTCAAAAACTGTATGGACTTAAGTCCTAAGAAGAGCAGTACTGTGAGCAGCACCGAATGATCGCCAAGATGGCTATCTTCAGTTCAAAGCCCCATCAAAATTTGGAACACTCCATTCAATGTTCGGTGTTACCAGTGCATACCGGTATCAGTGTTAATTAAAGCCAGTGTATACCAGTGTACACCGGTGTGTACCAGTGTTGCCGTTCGGAATTCAAACACCACATTGCGTGTTATCAGCCCTCAAAAAGCTTTTTAATGTACTTCACAGTTGCTTACTCATGGAAGTGCCCATCAGAAGTTGTCCGAGAGTCTTTCAGAAGTTCTCGGGAGCGTCAGCGACCTAGCCGACCCCTCTTGCGCGCACGAGCCCTGCGTGTCACGCCTGACCGGACGCAGTGCGTGCCGCCCATTCCTCGGTTATCGATTGCCTATGGGCTGCCGCCAAACACCGGATTGCAGGACCAACACCCAATTACTGCCAGGTGGGCGGACCCGGCCGATACGTTATTGGTGACCGCTCGCCGGCCGCGATGCCGCGTTCGACAAAAACACTGCCGTCTCGCCGATTAGTCAATCACGTGACCAAACCGGCGTCGCCCGGGGCCATGCGTGACCTCGCATGACCCGACATACCGGGCCTAGGATCACACCGCCGTGCGACGGTAACTGTTGCCATGGCGACCACCACTGCCATGAGCTGGGTTCGCGACAGCGACGCGGCGGAGTGAAACGGCCCACGTTTCGGACGACCATTGCTTAGAGCTGGAATGTCTTACGTCACTGGATCACTGCATGACGCCTGCGCAAGCATGCCTCGATGGTACAAACGCAGTCAGTTATAAAGGCCGCAGCTGATGCAATCATCGCCGTGGCAGGTGATCTGTCCAAATACCTATTCATAATACATGTGATGCCCCTACCGAAGAGGTAGATAGAGGAACGGGCATTGCAAGGGGAATGCTCCTGGCGTTCAGTGACACAGTGAATGTCAGATTTTTGACGAACGCGTGAAGCGTTTTGCTCCTGTTTTGTTCTCAGGGCTTGCAGCATCACCAACGCTATTGGTGCATGACATAGGCGGGCACGGACATTGCACGAAGGCAGGCGGGGGAGGGGCAGGGAGTAAGGCGAGGGCTGCGGAGCTCCACCTGACCGCTGTGTCCGCCGCTCTCGCCGGTGGTCTATGTGATGAGATACGAAGGGTTGCGGGGCTTCCTCGTAGAGACCATTGTGTCTGCCGCTCTCACCGGTGGTCTGCATAATGAAGCACAGAGGAGTACGGAGCTCCCCCTGACCGCGGTGTCAGCCGCTCTCACCGGTGGTCTGTATGATGAGGTACAGCTGGTCAATGTCGCTGTCGCCCGGAAACAGCGGGTCCCCCGTCAGCATCTCGGCGAACAGGCAGCCGGCCGCCCACACGTCCACCTCCCTGCGCGGAGGGGCGAGGTCAGCCACTGCCGCCTCACGACACACGCGGTAACCGGGGCTTTGCGGCGTCGGCACCGCTCATTCTGGCAGGCAGGGCGGGCACGGCGGGGAATCGAACCCCAGTTCCCGGTCTCCCAGACGCGCTGCGAAACTGCGCTGCCAACACACGCGGGGCAGCAAACACAACGCGACGGACATCTGGGAAGGAGCCCGACACCGCCCCGAGCTCCATTCTCCGCCATCGATCCGCTCGAGGGACCACCCCTCGCCCAGCTCGGGTGCTCGACATACCTCGGAAGCCCCTGGACACCACGCGGGCAGTGGAGCGGCGCGGATCCGCTCCGGCCGTGGGTATGCGTCCAGTCGAGCCGCCGGCCTTCCGGGGCGGCCCCGCAGACCCCGGCTCGTGACTCGCGCCCGGTGAGGCGCGGACAAATGCCGACGGTGGCGCACCGCCGAGCGCCGCGCCCCATTGAGCGGTGGCGGCGGGAGACGCGGGGGTCACGCGGGCTGGGTCAGAGGTGACCAGCGTCGTCACGCTCTGATGACCTCGGCGGCCGTTACCTGGCGACCTGCCGAGACGCTGTTCCCGATCGACAGCACGGGCGACCGGTCCGAGCGCTCCTGGCGCCGCGCTGCCGTTGCTGGCGGTGATGGCTTGCTGATGGCTTGGTGAGACTGTCGCTCGCCATTAGCGCAAGGCCGACGTAAAGTGAACGTTAAAGGTTCACTTTACCTTCATGAGGACGAGTTTACTCCACAACGCCAGGGCGCCCCGCCCTCGTGCTTACCTTCCGTATCGAGTGTCGCCGACGAGCAGCTCCGGAGCCCGGTACCATCTGGTGGCGACATAGTCAGTGCAGTTCTCTCCGGGGCCCGCTAGGGGTCTGGCAAAGCCGAAATCGCACAGTTTCACCACTCCGAGATTGGAGATGAGCACGTTTTCGGGCTTGATGTCGCGATGAATGATCTGCGAAGACAAGCAGCGATTTGGGAGCGAATAGCAACCACCAACAGCTTCGACCATACATCAAAATAACAGTGGAGAGCTGTGTAAAGCGTTTTATACAAGCGCATCGGGAAAGTTGACTGCATTGTGGCCGCATTTCACCCGATCACATAATCACATGGCTTTCCTAGCACCACGACCAAAGCAAGTTCTACGCCTCAAATGAGATCGAGATCGAGAAAGTGGATTGCATCTAGCTACACCCACACCAACATACGAAACCTAAGAAATATAGCATTTCTCCCATCCTACATAACGAACGCTCACGTTCTGGGTGTGGCAAAACTCGAGGCCCCGCAGCAGCTGAAAGATGTAGCTGCGGACGGCTGCCGGCTCTAGGCCACCCTCCTCCTTCGCCTCCAGCAAGTCCAGCACCGTGCTCTCCACAAACTCCAGCACCAGGCAGAGTCGCCGCCGCCGCCGGAACACCTCAATCAAGTTCACCAGGTTCTCGTGCCGTAGACGCTGCAACGGCCAGTGCCACACAGGCCAGTGTCACAGGCCAGCACCACAGGTCAGGTCACATGTAAGCGTCTCAGGTCAGTGCTTCAGGTCAGCGTCACTGGTCAGCGTCACAGGCAGCGTCACCACATGCCGGTATCACATGTTAGATCACAGGTCAGATCAATGTTACAGGCTAGCATCACAGGCTAGTGTCACAGGTCAGCGTCACAGGTACAGGTCAACGCAGCAGGTCGGTACCACGGGTCAGGTCACAGGCCAGGTCACAGGTTAGGTCACGGGTCAGGTCACAGGTCAGTATGACAGGTCAGTGTCACAGGTCAGGCCACAGGTCAGTGTCACAGGTCAGCGTCACAGATCAGAGTCACCACATGTCAGTATCACATGTCAGGTCACAGATCAGGTCAATGTTACAGGCCAACGTCACAGGTCGGTATCACAGGTCAGGTCACAGGTCAAGTCAATACCACAGATCAGCGTTACAGGTCCGTGCCACAGGTCAGCACCACGAGTCAATGTCACAGATCAATATTGCAGGTCAGTGTTACAGGTCAAGACTACAGATCAGCGTCATAGTCCATTGTCACACGCCAGCGCCACAGGTCAGTGTCACAGCAGTTCTCGGTTGCAGGTTTACAGGGTCAGCACGTTTTCGTGACGCAACTTGCAGGCACCGACACGGAAAGGTGTCAGGTCACCGAGTCAGACCACGATCAGGCTCAGAACATCGCACCGCTGGAATTGGCCCGACGGGGGGGGGGGGGGAGGGCGGTGACGCACGTGTGGCGCTAGGAAATAACTGATAAATTGTGGTATTTTTATAGATGGGGGACTATTTTCAGCTTATCACGCCATGGTCGGAGGCATCCCAAAGTATGAGGGTGATAAATGTTGAAGGAACAGGGCGCAATTTTCTTCCACTCAACCGAGCCTTGACGCGACGTGTGCGGACCACCACGTCTCACCTTGAGCATGCGGACCTCCCTCATAGCGATCTTCTTCACCTGGGCGTCCTCCTCGCCCTCCAGGAACTTCTTGATGGCGACAATCTGGCCGGACTCCTTGTGACGGCACTTGACCACCACCCCGTACGAGCCCTCGCCCACGATACCCAGGCTCTCGTACTTGTCCATGGCCGCGGCGGGACGTCAGCAGGTCACGCCAGGGGTCAGCTGAGCTCCGGTCAAGCTGTGCCGTCTGTGATGTGCTCAGGGGCGCGGCACTCAGCGGCGGCGTTCACAGGCTGTCGGCTCTCGTCGCGCACGGAGCGACGCGATGGTTTGTGGGCGGTTTCACGGTTTCGGCCGTGGTTCACACGGTTTAGGCCGTTGTTCCGGTGATTTCCGCCGTTCGTGACGATGCGACCGACTGACGGACGCTGTGCGAGGCCCCCCGGTCGGTGCAGCTTGTCTTCGCAGTTGACCTGGAGCACCTGGCCGACCCTCGCCGACCTCGCCGTGGGCGATGCCGTCGCTTCGGTGGCGCGTGACGTCACCCACCGCTCGGGGCAGAGTCGGAGCCGACACCTCGAGCCGGTTCAGGAGGAGTCGACACACCGCCTGCGCGCTGCAGCCCGCCGCCAGACGCAAGCCGCTTTTGTCGTTTCTCAGCTCTCTTCGGTCAGTCCCCTAACGCGGCCTGGCTTGCTCTGGCGCCCTGCGTCCGAGCCACAGCCGGAGCTGCGGCGGCGCCTCCGAAGACTGCCGACTCCGACGGCCCCAGCCCTGCAGCAGACAGGACACACTGAACTGCCGACTCCAACGGCCCCTGTCCTGCAGCAGGCCGGACACACTGAACTGCCGACTCCGACGGCCCCAGCCCTGCAGCAGACCGGACACACTGAACTGTCGACTCCGACGGCCCCTGCCCTGCGGCCGATCGGACCACACTGAACTGCCGACTCCGACGGCCCTAGCCGTTGCAGCAGATCGGACACACTGAACTGCCGACTCCGGCGGCCCCAGTCCTGCAGCAGACCGGACACACTGAACTGCCGACTCCGGGCGGCCCCAGTCCTGCAGCAGACCGGACACACTGAACTGCCGACTCCGGGCGGCCCCAGCCCTGCAGTAGACCGGACACGCTGAACTGCCGACTCCGGCGGCCCCAGCTCTGCAAGCAGACCGGACACACTGAACTGCCGACTCTGACGGCCCCAGCCCTGCAGCAGACGGACACGCGTGAACTGGACCTGTCTGGATACTGGATGCCGCGACATGTGGGGTGTGATAGACACGCCAAGGCATCAACACGCCCGACACACATTTGTGCAGTGGTTTCTAGCATGAATGCTCATGGGCATTAAAACACCAGAAATGCCAATGGGCCCATTTCCGTTTTGGAGCCACTTTATATGGTCATAAAATGAAAATAGTCCAATCTACACTAGCGTTACTGGGGCCAGGAATCCGCGGACGCCGGTGGTGGTTACTGCACGGGAGATAGCCAATCCGAGGCGCGTGGCGATTGCTGGCTGACGCCACGAACTGCCAGACACAAACGCTGTAGCGCGGAGGAGCCACAAATGATGGTCCCAGAACTCACACTACAGCAGTGGTTGCCACTAATTTCGCGACAGACCAGTGAAAGACCGTTGTCTTTGAAGTGCATGGTCGAACTGCACACTGCGTCGAACACTATCTATGTGCCTGGCACTGGTATGCACATTCTCGTGGCAATTAGGCATGTGGTATTAGATCGGTCAAATCTGCAACAGCCGTGTCCATTTTCAGACGTCTGGTTTATAACGATTTGGTCATTCGCTCAAGACGCCTATGTATGCTAAGAACGAAACACATTGGCGTGAGGTTATGTTAGTCTATAGCCACTCGGGCTATAAGAGCGGCCGTGCAGCCATGCACTGTGTCCTAAATCGGGACATAAACTCTTCAACCTCATTTCACCCGAACCGGCTGCAGCTGACGGAACGTCCAAGAAGAGTTATGCTGGCGTGGATGGCCATGAATACTAAGTGTTTCTGTGAAGCCAGGGCGAATACAAGCCTTGAAATGGGGATACACAAACCCTCCGCTTTTTACATTGATATTGAACTGAGAAAAGATTACGTGAATTTAGTAATTAACAACTTCAGTACTTGCATTTGAATGCTTCATATTTGAACGCTTCAATGCCTTATTAAGGGAAATGTCAGAAAATGCGAGCAAACCTGTACTGCATGGTCAGCACCGAGCCGAGTATGGCAGGATGTCAGTCGTGATCAACACCAAGCTTGAAACACGTACAGCTGTCGATCACGCCGAATCGTTCAAAACTTACGGGAAGTGACCGAGCCACGATGGCGACTACATGGTTGCGTTAGTCGAGCGTATGTAGTAGTTAATTTCTCGCCACTTGCATGAAACTCTGTACGCTCCTGCATGACCCCATCCAAGGCGGTGTCACAGAACGCATATCCAGCATCCGACGGCCTCTCCTACAGCAGCCCTGTCAGCGGCACACTCGTCTGATGAGTTTGAATTTAAATGTTGTGTCCAGGCGGAATGTCATGCGCCCAACTATGCAAAGGAACAGCGTTTGGTCCCCAATGCTCCTCCGTCAGTGTTCACCAGCACCGATGCGGGCCGGCATTGGAGGAGAGTAAGCTAGCATGGAGCCACCGACGCAGCTGTCTTCAACTTCTTGTTGACCGATGATCAAGTGGTTGCGTTCTGTGACGCCACACCTTTACTGAGCACTACAGCAAGCAGTGCAAACGCACACACACACACCTGCTACTCTGGGTAATCTGTGCTGAACTCCCACCTTGTCTGTCCCATTGCCCTGGCATGCCGTCTGCCCAGTAAGAAAGATACGACTGCGGGAACTGATAGTCAGCGAATAACAGCCGTTCTCACCCAAAAACAAAACAAAACATGATACAATCCAAAAAGCACGCCAAGATATGGTGCATCATCACAGGTATTATGTGTACATGATGTCAGTGACACTCCGAGAAAAAAACACCTCGATGAATGGCATTAACGCACCTGAGTCATCATCGACCCGTCGCTTATCAGACCACGCATGTACACTGCATATTCCTTTGTCTCATAACAAGCCACCCCACCGCAGCATTCCCTTAACAATTGAGACAGGAACCCGAGCCGCCCAGCCTTGAGACGGGCCGCGTGATCCTCAGGCACCCAGACCTGACCTGTGACCTGACCTGTCTCTCCCTCGGCGCTGACCTGGTCGTCGGTCGGCGGCGCCGGCGGGTCTGTGCGCCTCCGTCGCCTCACCTGGCTGGAGTGCCGCCCCTCAGGCCCGCACCCCTCCCCCTCGGCCGGCGCGCCGAGCTCGTATTGATCCCCCGGTGTACTGTGACGGCCGGCTAGGGCACAAAGGTGCCGACGCGCCGGCCCACCGCACCGTACACGCCACACTCGCCGACGGGGGCCCGGGACGCGCAGAGGGGCCGAACCGGGACACACAGAGGGACCGCACCGAGACACACAGAGGAGCTTTACCGGGACACACGGGGGGGGGGGGGGGGGCTGAACCGGGACACGGAGGGGCTACAGCGAAACACACAGAGGGTCCGAATCCGGACCCACAGAGGCTGTACCGGGACGCAGAGGGACTACTACACCGGGACAAACAGAGAAGCTGAACCGGGACACACAGAGGGTCTGAACCGGGGCACACAGAGGGCTGAACCGGGACACAGAGCGACTGCACCAGGGCACAGGAGGCTGAACCGGCACACTGTGAGGGTTGTGTCGAAACCGCGGAGCGAGAGACGGGGGGGGGGGGGGGCTGAATCGGGACAAAGCAATTGCACCGGGAACCCGAGAGATTGCACCGAGAACACCGAGGGGCGAACACACCGTGCCACAGCTCGGCACACGCCACACGGCCGAGCTGCAAGCTGGGACCGGGATCATCCGCGGCCAAATGAAAACTCACCCTCTCTCATGACGGAGTTCAGAAACTCTACTGCCATCCAATTCGTACAATCCTGCCCAAAGTCAGGGTGCGGCGTCTCCTCCGGAAGCAAAGGTTAGCCAGGGCGACTCGGTCGGCAGTTCGGCAGAGTACGCAGCATTTAATGTGAATGTGAGGAGCCACAACCCACATTTCATCAATGCATGACGTATTATTGGCTCGGCCCGATTTCGCTCACAAAGATGTGTGTATTTCATGCGTTGCAAATTTATGACATTCAAAATACGCACTACAGCTGATGAAAAAAGCAGCCATTAGGGTCAGCCCCATCATCGATCACTTAACAATTGCTGTATCACTCACCGGTAGCGATAAAGTTGCGTTGATTTCGCAATCGCGCTAGAAGAATGAAACAAAAGATTTCCAGTGGCTTCCAAACATGAAATAGACCCGTACCTCGTTTGCAAAATGCTTCCCATAAAACCCACTACCACTTATCAAAAAGTAAGCATGGTTGTGGTAAAAGCGCTGCATTTGCCGCGAGTCATTTTTCTCAGCACAAAACGATCAGATGCTGCACCCTGCGAGATTTGTCCGACACCTCCAGATAGAAGCGTCCGACGGGACTCAAAAGGCAGTTTACGAACAGTGATGATGCTGAAGGACGATGCAACGCCATGTGAAGTTTTACAGCCGCAACATATATGTGCCATATTTAATCGGACCCCTTTCACTGTGACCAGTGCAACTGACAGATCAATGCACTTTGCGATCTTCTCCGGTGTCGTTCTCCTAGTATAGCAATCCTCCTGGTGCCGGTCTCAGTTACTTTTGTCGTGTAATACCACTTCGTTTTGTGAGCTCGTTGGCTACGCCGCCATCAAAGGCTTTGGTGGGAAATGCATCACGATTGGTGCTTGCCTTACCAGCCTAACCTGAGTAAGATAAACTGCAGAAAAGAGTCCAACTACTATCTCTGATGTCTGAGAAGTTAAAATCATCTTGTCGTGACTCTTAGACACGGAAGGAGGCCTTTAGCAAATGACCGGGGAAAAGAGCCAGCGTCTCGTTATCACATACCTGTTGTGTAATCCCCGTCGCACAAAATGGACTGAGAACCTTTAACACGTAAAGTGGCGGAAAAACTTTCATCGACATATTACTTGTGCAATCTTCATACTCGCGCCTCTACTGACGGATAGTTGTTTCAGTTATTCTTGTCCACAACAGGCGCTGAGAGCTGTTCAGTTTAACCGCATCCTCTGAAGAGCAGTGACGGCAGCCGCCGTGCTTGTCCTCATCGCCACCATCGCTGTAACGTTAACGTCATACCACGGAGCACACAACATCCTTGCCCATTACCATTGTCGTCCTTCACAGGCCGTGCCGCGTGTGATGAGTGATGATGCCTCACCTGTCCGGTGCGCGTGTGATGAGTGACGATGCCTCACCTGTCCGGTGCGCGTGTGATGAGTGACGATGCCTCGCCTGTCCGGCGCGCGTGTGATGAGTGACGATGCCTCACCTGTCCGGTGCGCGTGTGATGAGTGACGATGCCTCACCTGTCCGGTGAAGCCAAGCTCGGTTTGTGATGAGTGACTCATGACCTGTGACTGGTGACTGTTCAATCGTGACCCTTGACTCGTGACTCGTGACTCGGAACACCACCGGCCGCGAGCGCTTCATCAGCCGAGTCGCTCAACCCCGTGTGCGCTGTGCCGATAAGCTTTTATTGTCATTGTGGAAAAGCTGCAAAATTTGCTTGCGACCCCGTGCAACGAGCTGGCAATGGCTACTCAAAGCTCATTATTACGCGATGCATAGAGACCTGCTCGCTTTACCAACGATTGCATGTCCTACCCGGTTGTAAACAACAGACACGGTTTTAGCAAAAAGTTCCTAAAATTCGAGCTTGTTCGGCTTTGCTGACGGGCAGCTACAGCACACATAACGGCAAACAGCATGCAGACCAGGTCTCCCATATTTGTCTTCGGCATGCGTCCACGCGCAAGTGGAACGTGCACTGTTCGTTGGACACGCGCAGGGCTTATCCGGAAAAAATCATGTTTGTCCTCGCAGACAGCCGGCACGTGTGTGGGCAATTTTAATGCCAAGTTGGGAACTGGATCGGGATGACCTGCAGACAAACACAGGCAGCGCGGCCAGCCCTCCAAGCGAGAGGACAGGACGGGACCGAGCTGTTCAAGCGCGCGGTCCTCGCAGGCACCCCCGGGACTACAGACGGGTAGCGGCACTAACCACACATGCGACGAGTCGACGGGCGGCGCTCGCTCGACAGAGCCGGGCACCCGACCTGCCCAACTCGCGCCGCCATCATCGCGCGTCACAGAGCGTGAACGTGCAATTGTGCTGCATGCACCCCGCGATTCGACCGATATACGAGCGTAGCCGGGCGCGGGCGGTGCTGACTGAGGGTGGGCTCCGGCTGCGGAGCTCAGTGGCGTCACCGGTGCCGTCCGAAGCTGAGCGCCAGCGCGGTGACGACAGTGGAGCTGCGGACAGCGGCTCTGCATGCGTCGCCAGCTCCTCCAGACGTGCTGCTGCTCCGGTGCCCTGTTCAGGAACCTGCGGACGAGGCGCCGTCGGTGGCTGGTAGTGCATGCTCCGTTTGCAGTCTCCGGCCTGTCAGACGATGTCAACTCTGCGTCGAGCGACGCTGCCGCTGCAGCTGCCGGCGGTGCTGCTGCTGGTTCTGCTGCTGGTTCAGCTGTCCGGCCGCCAGGCGATGGGCATGCGACGCTGGCGAAGCGCGCCGGTGCGCCGCCCTGGCAGGCGCCGGCCCGCCGTCACCGGCGCGGTCCCAGCGGTGTCCGGTGCTGCCGACCTCCTCAGTTCGCTCGTCTTCTTCAAGCGGACCAACGTGTCGTCCTGGCCGCGTTACCTGGCGCCAGCGTCGGACGGAGCCGGCACCGGCGCGCCAGGGCTGTCCTGGGTGTCGGAGCCGACCGCTGCCCCAGCGAGGACCAAAGAGGCCGGCCACGGCCACCGCAGCCGGGTCCTTGGCAGCGAACCTCCCTGACAGTCAGAATCTCCCTGACAGTCAGACCACCGCAGCGGCCCATCCTGCTGCAGCCTCAGCCGCGCGGACCGTCGTCTGCGCCACCGGTGGGCGGCAGAGGGCTGGAGTCGGCGGCGGGCGGCGGCGGCAGCGAGCTCAACGGTCGGCCGTCGTCCTCTCTGGCGTGCGTGACTTTGAACCGGCCGACGGCTCTCAGAGCACCTGGTGGAGGTCACAGAGGTCGCGGCCCAGGAGGGTCCTCGCGACCAAACACCGGTTTACAGGATAACGCCAACGGTGTTGGCGCACGCTTCCGGTCCAGCTTCCGGTCCAGCTTTGAATTTTAAAGGCACGGAGCCAGACATCCTGATCCCGGGCTTTTCGTCTCAGTCGTACGTGACTCCGTCCTCGTTACCTCCGACGTCACCACATCCACTCGCGTCACCTTCCGCGCCTGCATCGACAGACAGCGACGTCTCCAGGACAACCAGCGGCGCCGCTGTGATAGACAACCTGTCTGACATGCCATTCCACGGCTCTGACCACGTAGAACGTCCTTCACAGCACAGGCTTTCGCCCGGCGTCACCGGCGGCGTTCACACCGCGCCAAGCCCCGCACCTGCCTCCGGCGACCCCCAGCCCAGCCTCGCTCCTGCCGCATCACAGCACACAGCCAGCATCTCACCGACCGTGGGACCTCACCGACTATGCAACTCCTGCTACCCCGAGTTCGTTCCCTTGCCCCACCGCCAGGGGCGGAGTCCGCTCCAGCGCGAGCCCGCCCTCCCCGATGACACCTCGAACCTCACGAGGGCGGCGACACCGCTGGCCAACGACGTCCCACCACCGTTGGCCGGCAGAGCCCTCCCTTCAGGCGGCCGCGTGCGCACATTCTGGGACGCTCTGGAGGAGTACCCGGCGCCGTCGCGCGAGCGCCGCTCGCTGGCCAGCACCCTGTCCGCCGGCTTGACCGACCTCCTGCCGGCCGCCTCCGGCTAACGGCGGGGCGGGAGCTACATAGGAGGCTGGGCAGCCAGCACGCTAACGGCGGTGGCGGCGGCTACGGGGGAGGAGGCCACGGCGGCGGAGGCTACGGCGGCGGAGGTTACGGAGGAGGAGGTTACGGAGGGGGAGGCGGCTACTGGAGGAGGAGGAGGACTACGGCGGCGGCTGTGACTGCAGCGGGTACGACATGATCGGCCTGTGTGACGGGGCGGCGCGCGCTGGCCGCCGTCGGCGTCTTCCTGGTCGCACAGCTGACCACCAACACCAACGGCGCCAGCGGGCCGGACAACTGGCCGCTGCTGGAGGACTGGCCGCTGCCGAAGGACTGGCA